ATGGCCTGGGAAAGCAGTAAAAGATGGCCCAAGTCCTTGGGCACCTGCACCCACATGGGAGTCGCGGAAGAAGTTCCTGGCTTCGGATTAGCAAAGTTGGAATTTCAAATAAATAAATAAAAAATCAAATAAATAAATAAAAAATCTTTAAAAATATATTTATTTATTTGAAAGTCACAGTTACACACACAGAGAGAAGGAGAGGCAGAGAGAGAGAATTCTTCCATCTGCTGGTTTACTCCCTAATTGGCCACAACTGCCAGGCAGCAGTGATAGGAAGCCAGGTGCCAGGAGCTTTTTCCGGGTCTCCCATGGGTGCAGGGGCCCAAGGGCTTGAACCATCTATTACTGTTTCCCCGGCCATAACAGAGAGCTGGATCAGAAGTGGAGCAGCCAGGTCTAGAACCAGCACCCATATGGGATGCTGGCACCGTAGGCAGCGGCTTTACCCACTATGCCAGCCTGAATTCTTTTTTTTTTTTAAGAATTATTTATTTATTTGAAATTCAGAGTTATACAGAGAGAGAAGGAGAAGTAGAGAGAGAGAGAAAGAGGTCTTCCATCCACTGGTTTACTCCCCAATTGGCCGCAATGGCTGGAGCTGTGCAGATCTGAAGCTAGGAGGCAGGATCTTCCTCTGGGTCTCCCATGCGGGTGCAGGGGCCCAAGAACTTGGGCCATCTTCTACTGCTTTCCCAGGCCATAGCAGAGAACTGGATCTTAAGTGGAGCAGCTGGGACTTGAACTGGTGCCCATATGGGATGCTGGCACTTCAGGTAGCAGTTTTACCCGCTATGCCAGAGCACCAGCTGCCATACTAGCATTCTAAGAATATAACATTGCCCCTTGGTTCCTTCCTCCCTTTCATTCTTTTATTTGTTAGAAAATATATTTTTAGTTTACCTTACAATCAAAAGTTTAATGCTCCGCTAAATTAAGGGTTCAACAATAAATTGTAGAAAGACCGCAGTTCAGTGGGAATACAAAGACTATAAACAATAATCAATCATATGCAGTAAATTTTAAAATAATTACAGATCATTGAAACTATAGTAATTTATCATTCTTAACCACTGATTTGACAAAGATATAACACAAAATTTGGCAAAAGTATATTTGCAGCAATACTGAGACAGACTTTTTTTTTAAATTTTAGCTCATATACAGAAGAACATGTGATTTTTGTCTTTCTGTGTTGTACTTACTTCACTCAATGTGATGTCTTCCAATTGCATCCTCTTCGATGCAAATGGTAGAATTTAACTTTTTTATAGCTGAATAATATTCCATTGTGTATGTCTGTATATACACACACATATATGTAATGTATCATATTTTCCAACTCATCTGATGATGAACAAGTGGGTGTATATATGTGCAAGAATTAAATTAGACCCTACCTCTCACTACATACAAAAATGAGCTCAAAATGGATCAAAGACCTCAACTTAAACCTGAGAATACAAAGTTGCTGGAAGAAAATGTAGGGGAAACCCTTCAAGACATTGGTGTAGGCGATGACTTCTTGGATAAGACTACCAAAGTACAGGCAATAAAAGGAAAACCAGACAAAGGATATTATATAAAAGTCAGAAGCTCCTGTACAGCAAAGGAAACAATCAATAGGATGAAATATTACCAACAGAATGGGAACAAATATTTGCAAGCAATCTGTATGACAAAGGATTAATATCCAGAGTACATCAACAGCTCAACAACAAAAACCAAGCAATCCAGTTAAGAAATGGCCAAGGGACCTCAAGGGACCTCAAAAGACAGATCTCAAAAGAAAAAATACAAATGGCAAAGAAACATCCAAAAATTTCTCAATATCGCTAGCCAGCAGGGAAATGCAAATCAAAACTACAATGAGATATCACCTCCTCCATGTTAGGATGTTTTAGAATTTTATCTAAAAGAAAGTCACAGGTGATGGTGAGGATGTGGAGAAAGGGGAATTGTTATACACTGTTGGCGAGAATGTAAATTAGTGCTACCACAGTGGAAAATAGTATGGAGATTTCTTAAGAGACTAGAAATAGGTTTGTCACATGATCCTGCATTTTCATTACTGGGCATACACCCAAGAAGACATGAGCAGACTGTATCACAGAAACACCTAAACCACCATATTCATAGCAGCACTGATCACAATAGCTAATACAGACTCTTTAAAAGAAAAATGTGTTATTCTGCTAGAATGGGAAATTTAGAGCAAAAAACTGTTGGAAACTGCTTTTGAGAGTAACAAATTTTAGGAGCTGACTCCTATCCAGCTAATATTAAGAAAACAGAGATCTCAATCATATAGCAGCTTCGTGAGACTTTGAGCCTGTGACTTGAGTAGAAAATTCAGACTCCTGACCCCTGGAACTTTGTAGTAATAAACCTTCATTCTTTCAGTTGCTAAGTCTGTGACCATTTGTTATGGGAGCTATAGCAAAACAGTACTTGCATTTAAAAAAAGTATATTATACAGTATATAGACCAAGGCAGTAAGTTCAGTACATACTCAATGGGAAGAATATGCACAAGGCTACGTACACAGGAAACGTGTGCTGCTGAGAGCCATCTTGGAGTCTGCCTCCTATATTGGGCAAACTTCATAAATTAGTTTATAGCAAGGAATTTCAAGAAGTAGCATTTCAGAAAAAGTAGTAGGAAAAACAATATGCTTTTATTAAACTTAATTAAATACAAAGCTTAATTTACTTGAAAGTGACTTGTTATATATTTAATTTTGATTACAGTCATGTGTGAAACATAGCCTTTTAAGCCAGTTTGACACCTCTGTAGATCATTTGAAACTGAGAGTGACACAATATGTCAAGTTGAAGGGTAATTTCTACCAGCATACCAAAATATGAGTATTTAGATCTAGGAAACATGGCTATCCAGATATTACAAAATGTCTTGAAACTAAAGATCTAGTTTTATTTGCTGGAAAGATATTATACATATTTTTTGCTTACATTTAGAAGTGTAAACTTGGCTTCTATCTGAGCCAAACTTTTGACATGTGTGTTTTCTGTGTCAGTTAAGAGTATTTTTGTTAGAAAATGCTAAGATTTCTTTACTTTTTCTAGGATTTTTAAAAAAATGAATTGTAAAGGAATAAATTATAGTTTTTACTTTACTATCATCACTGTTCTAGAATTTAATTTTGCATTATACGTGCTCACAGTATTAGCTATTTAAATCATAAAAAATTATTTCTTCCCTTGCCCCTTCACCAATACATTAGGAAATTTAACTAATCTAACTAATAAGTGTCAAATTTAAACTTAGTTAAATCAACTTGAAATTTCGTGTAGTCACAATTAGTTAGAAGATAATTTCTGCTGAGAGGATTTTTTGAACTCAGAAAATGTAATTGTCCACTTAATTAATTAAGCATTTTATTTGGAAGTGTCTGTCATGGCAATTCTTGGATTTGCCCAAATATGATGTTCTGGCTTTATATAGAGAGAGGTATCTTATCTAAACATATTGAACAAAAGAGGGCTAACAGGTACTTAGGATTCCAATAATGATTCAAAACATCTTATTAAGAAATTGATTTTTTTCTGTATATTCTATATTTCTTTGGCTTTGGTAATAATTCATTCTTTCTTATTTCTTTCTCAACTTCTCTCTTATTCTCTGTATGAAATCATTCTAGGATTCCTGGTTACTTAAGAATGACTATCTTTAGTGCTCATAAACTCCTTGAATAGGACAATCTAAATTTTTAGAATACTCCTATGTGATTTTGAAGCCATTTTGAAAAATACGAATACATATGCTTCTAGGCCAGCATTCCTTTTGAAATACATCACTTCTGTGCCTTTTCTTCTCTCAAGACCCTCCCCAGGTTTCCCATTCCAATCATACTAGATTCATCATATTTTCTTGAGTAGTATATTCTCCCACAAATACGTATTTTTGTATATAGTGATCTTGTGCAGATTTAATCAGTCACATTGATTTAATTAGGAGGTCATTTCTTAAGCTTATCAGAAAAACTCAGGCTAAAATGTGCGGTGCTGGATTATGTGAAGCGATAAGCATCATTTCCATAAAAAGTAGTCAGTTTGTCAACTGGTAAATAGAATACTTGAGAAATTGACTAAAAAGGTCATCTTCTGTGTTCTTGCTTTCTCTCTTCTGAGAACTCAATGCTTGTTGATTGGTTGATTGATTTATATAATAAACTCGATGACCTTATAACTTGCAGCACGATCTCATTTTTGTAACCACATCAGTGCACTGAAATATAAACGTATGCTTTGATACTATAAATACCAAAACCTTTCTGCAAATAAATATTCCAACTAGTTTCTCAATTTCTCATTAATATTTTGCCATTTGAAGATTTTATGACTGTTTTAATTCACAAACTTTTATGTAAACTGTTAGTATAATGGGGCCATCTTCCTAAGCCCAACCTGGCTTACTGTAAGTCAGGTGACCAAATAGCCCAATCACAACTGTCAGCTCCTCCCCGACCCTGACGGGATTGGCTGTTCCCACTTCCTTACTTCTGCAAAACTATGTAAGACATGTTCTCCCAGTACAGGCTGTTGTTCTCTCTGTACACGGGAGGCAGCCTGTTAGGTTTCCCCCAACTCGACAATAAACCTTTTCCCTTATTCCAGTGTTTGGTGTGTTTTGTGGTGGCCTTTCCTTACCTAAACCCTATAGGATTCTATATTCATTTTCTAAATTTGTTCTATATATTTATTATGTACCTTAATGTTTCACTTTTATCATCAGGAGAGGTGAGTCGTGTTATAAAAAACTCTGAAATTAGACCTAATTTAAAACTTTCATATTAAAATGCAACATAACACCTTATTTAGCAAGACTAAGGCCTATCTTTGATATTTCAGAATATCTCTGATATTTGAGTCTTTGCTCTACTATCTGTTTATCGTCTTTGGAGAGACTGCTTTGAAGGAATTGGCTCACCTGATTGTGTTAGAGTCGACTGCCCGAAAAACGTCACCAAGAGACATCTCTTATGCAAACAGCAAGGGGAAGCTTTATTGATTATCCAGCATGCTGGGGCTGTCTGATCATCATGAGCAGAGCAGCCCCGAATAACCAAAGGTTAGGGTTTATAAAGGCAAAAACCGCAAAACCAGGAAGGGGAGAATACACGGTTGTTAAGGGGTTGCTAAAGTCTTACAATCCGCAATTATGATCTTAAGACATAGACAAATCACATCTTCATTATTAGCCCAGGTAACCCAGGTGCAACCTTTCTACTTTTAAGCTTGAGCAATCATGCTAGCGGGTTTTTGTGTGTTGCCAAGGGTGATGTAGTGCACTGCTATTGTCCGACTATTTGAGATCATAGTTTCGGACCAGAGTCTCACGGTGGGGGGGTTGCTTTCCCAGAATGCAGTCTCAAGTGCTCCAAAATGGAGTCCCTACTGTCAAGGTGCTACTTCACTGTTTTATTTTTACAGCTGCACTAGGAAGGTTTAAACCTGTAAGCTTAAGCTTAACTTTTGACACCTGTACATATACAATTTTAACTCTTCATTCCCCACTCCTTGTTGTGAGGATCTCTAATCTTAGAGATTTGTTTTTGTATCTTTTAATGTGACATATTGTTGTCTTATGATTATGAGTTTAACATTTTTAACTTGTTCCTGCACGAAGGTGATGAGTCTATTTAACACACAAGGTCCTATGGTTACAATTAGGAGTAGAACAATTAAGGGTCCTGTTAGGGCTGACAGTAGAGTAGTAAGCCACGGGGACCGGCCGAACTATGACTCAAACCATCCCTGTTGAGTTTCCCTCTCCCGTTGCCGTTTTTTCAGTCATTTTTTTGAGTTTAGCCATGGAGTTTCTAACCACCCCAGTTTAGTTGACATAAAAATAACATTTTTTTTTTTTTTAGGGCCGCGCATAACCCACCCCCATGAAAATGAGATTTAACCCCCGCCTGTTCTGTGATACTGAAATGCAGATACTGGGCTGCATCTGGGAGATTGTGGAAGATTTGTCAGGCAGAAGGGGCGGGCATCTCCACCTGGAAGGTTATCAGGTAGAAGGGGGCAGGGCAGGATGCAAAGGCCAGGCTGCCCGTGAAACATTGTCAAGATGACTGAGATGTAGATGCATATGCTGGACACATTAGGCCTTTATGTCACACACACATAAGCTCATAACTGACTTTCTGCCTAATATTTTCCCCTCAAGAGGTAATACCCAAAATTCTTCTTTGGGATTATGGATGGAGTTCCATTTTCTGTAACTTCTTCGAAGCTGGCATGTGGGCGTCGAGGGGGATTTGGGTATTTCCTCTTGCTACCTGTCTTATGGTGTGCAACAGTGGCCTTGGAAAGACTGCGTTGCTCGGTCCAGAGGGCTGCTCAAATCGTCCAGTGGAATGGGCTGGAAGTCTTGCCTGATGACCATTTGGAGTTCAACAGCTTTTAGTCTGTTAGAGACAAAATGAACAAGGGCATTAAAAACACACAGCCCAAAGAGAAGCATCAAGATTGCAGAAGTTAGTGGGCCAAGGAGAGGAAATAGCCAGGATTTTTATGATCAGATGTTAGGCCAGAAATCCCAGCCCTGCTTGGCCTGGTCCTGGAGCTGTTTGGCTTTTTCCAGAAAAAGTACAAATTTGGGTTTGTGTCTGTCTAGTCTGATTGACCCAGAGACTATATGTGTGTGTGTATATATATATATATATATATTAGATATTTAGTAGCCAGTTTTGCTAGGAAGTTAAGCCAATGTACAAGACTAGCGTCTCAGGCTTGGAAAGAAGACAGACTAATGAATTACTTACATTTAACTATTTATATTATGGATTATTGTGCACACCCCTTAAGAGATAGGCCCTTTAAGTCCTCAGTGAGGACCTGTCCAAATAGGTGTAGGGCTATCTGAGTTAGCTGTTACTGAAAGCCCTGTTTTTAGGAACTGGCAGGGAGGGCTTTCTAAGCTTAATGTTATTGGATAGACTTAAGGCATGGCTGGGTGTGTGAGGCCCAGACCTATCCTTGGGATGCTGGAAGAGAATTGAAAGAGATGCAAATCTCCTTTAAGGGAGGCACCCTGTTGACTTGCATTACATGGCTGGACTAGGAGGAGAGCTGAATAGGAGGCTGATAGAAATAGGCAACTTGCGTTTCACTGACCCTAGGCCATCCCCTCAATAGCAGTGGCTGGAGCTGGAAGCTGGGCAGAGGCTGGACAGAGCCAAAGGCTTTTTAGCTCGGGGCCACAGGGTCAGCGGTTCTGAACCAGGAGTCCTTCGACACCCAGGGCAGTTCCGTGTCCAGTGGCCGTGCTCTTGGCAGGGCTGACAGAAGGCATTTGCTGTCACGACAGCTGCTTGCCCAATGCCCTGGCTCCTTATATCAGCAACAGGTGCCGTTTGGGGTGCATTGGCCTTGCTGGGTCTCCTTGATGGCAATCACCGTGTAAAGCAGCCATTGATTGGTCTGTTGTCTATCCTCTGCTGCTAGCTTGCTCCGCGTTTTCCTGGTCTCTAATAAAGTAGACCAAGGAGTCAGCCTCTATGATGTCAGTCAAGGGGGTGCTCAACCCAATCCTGATTTTTGGAGATTTTTTTTTTAAATATCAGGGTGAGCTAGAAAAACTATGGTCATGGGCAAATTCTGACACTTAATATCTTCCTGCGAGTTAAGACTGTGCCCATGAGGAGAACTATGACCCTTTAGGTAAGATCAACTGTGGTGACCTGCTTGCATACTTTGAGGTCGTCAGTGTAACTTTTTACACCGAAAAATTGATCTAGTTGTCACATTATTTTATAGTTTAACCTTTGTTGTTGTTGTTGTTGTTGTTTGGGGCCCTATACTGTGGCCAGGCATTATTACAGAAAAGGTCAGTCATCCCTTACATAAGGTCTGGGGATTAAACCGTACATCACAGTGGAGAGTCCTGCAGAACAGTAGTAACTTCCCTTCTGGAAGAGAAAAGAGGAGAAGTGAGGCAGCGAGTTGGGTCTCTAGCCTGACTTTCTGGGCTTTTAGATTTAACTGGCAGTTTAACCAGTGTTTACTGCGTAGCCCGACTTAGAGGAGAAATTATGGCAGAGTTCTCTGCCATTCTTTGGCTTCCGGGTATTTACCGTGTAGCCTGTGGACACTAGAGCTTTCTTGGGTTTCTGGAACCCAGTTTTCTAGCATCTGCCACATAACCATAACTTAACAGAGACAGTAGAGTACACAATGGATTAACATGAATTTTATGTCTCTTGTTGTCGAATAAACCAGAAATAAAAAAAAAACCTTGTATATAAGAGTTTACATAATTTAGAATTATTTAGCAGAGTCAAAAAGAGTTTACAGGACCTAACTCTAGAAATGGCAGAGTAACTGATTAAGCAGACACTGTTAAAATAGACGTTACAGTTTTTGCAAAAACAGATTTCAAGATTTATGATTTAGACCATTTTTAGATATTTACTAATATTAGTACACTTTTTTTTTTTAAACCCCATTGTTATAACAGAAGATTAGACTTTAACTTTAGGTCAGTGTAATTTTAGCATTAGCACTTAACTCTGTAAATAATATTTTAAAATTATAAACATTTTAAAACTTTTTATGACTTGTTTATACCTTTTGAAACTTTATACTCATAGTTACTTTTATTAGCCTTGAATTGTCATGTATGGACAACCTATGCGAATACATGTTAACAAACTCAAACAGTTTTTTTTTATTGAATTTGAGATGTTAAAAGTATATATAATATATTTTTCCAAGTTTTACTTAGCACTGATGCCTAGATGACTTAAGACACTGAGTTATTAATGAATACCACACCATTATCTGAAATAAAAGTTAAAATTACATTTTTATATTTTTAAGTAACACAAGGATAACACCTCCTGGACAGCAAACATTAGTGCATGTTTACAACTTTGAAAAGATCTTCCTCATTAAGAGAAACAAGTTTAAAGCATATCAAAGACATGTAAAACTGAGCAAGCAAGCCACTGAGCAAACCAAAGGGTGTTTGCATTACCTCAGTTTTCTGAACCAATCTGCATTGGCTTACTTTAGTTAACAACATAAAGGCTTGTATACACAGAATTTTACTCTTATTTTTATAAGACCACTTTAGCTGGAAAGCAAAAACATAAATACAGCATAGGTCTGACACCATTTATAACATTTTAATATATTTTATATAATCTGAATTGACCCAAGCAGCTGTTACTTTAACAAATTTAGAGTCTCATCCTTTGAGAGTTCCAGGGATCCAACTGGAAGCCCAAAGTTGGAAGACTCGATTTAGAATTTAAGCTGTCAGAGAGTCAAACCATTTAGCCAAAATTAGTACATTTCTGATCAGTTGGGTAATCATTCAGACATTAAAAACAGATAAACAATGTAAACAACTTTGCATTGTGTTTTTTTTTAATCAAGACTCTAATGGCAATAGAAAAACGCGAAACCTTCAAGACAGGTGAACGCTCTCAGATGAGTCAGGGACAGCAGCACAGAAAAGAGCTGATTATCAGCATATGAACCCATTGTTTAGGTTTTCATTAGCTGCAAAGAGAAAAACCCATCAAGTTGGAAAGGGTTAATGGCTTAAGGTTCTGGCTCCCTTAGGTAAGGCCAGCAGTAATATTGAATTGGAAATTCCTCCAGGAGAGGAAAAAAGAAGCAGCACTGGGGTGGGGGCTCTGCCTAGAGATATTTGGCTATGGCTGCCTGGGTGCACCAGGCCACATGGACTAGAATAGAGTGCAGAGAAAGGCTGTGGTCCCCCATTTACAGGAAAGACTGCGCACACCAGGGCTTGGCAGGACTAACTGTGGGGTTGGGTAGGTGCGCCATTTTACCAAGAGTGTTGGGAACCTCCTATAATTTAACCAAAGCCAGATTAATTAGGACTACTGCAGACATTCAGTCAATTACAACAGATAGTTAACTTTAGCTCTTTTCCAGATTTAGTCCTCAGGCAATCAAAGCTTAGCAACAGTAATAGTTCACAAAAAACTTTAAGACGCACCAGAGCTACCATAAGCTGCAAAGACGGAAAACTTTCTACCAGGTTGGAAAGGGTTAACAGGTAACAGGTAACAGCTTTTCCCTAGGTGGAGAGACTTGTGGAATTTCCCTCTCCCTTTCTCCTGCCCAGTGGTATAGGAATGGAGATGAGGAGAGCAAAAGAGTGGGGGAAGGAGCCCCGGGGAGGAGGAGGAAGGCAGAAAGCAATGACCTCCTGCTGTCTGGGGGCTGAGTGGGGTTTGAAATCTCCTATCACTCAAGGTTACCCACTACCTAGTTGTCTGAGTTTACCTGAAGGGCCAATATTAGCCTCGACCGAAGCTAAGCCCTGCTCGCGTAGCAGTAGGCAGCGTGACCAGGCGTCCCTCCGAGAGAGAGACCTGATCCTCGGGTCGCAGTCCGGCCGCCGGGAAGCCAAAGCGAGCTCAGGGGGTCTCCAGGCTCTCAGCCAACTGCCCTTCCTAATTTCCCTCCCGTTCCTTACAATCCCTCTGGAGTTTCGACCGTAGCTAAGCCGTGGCCGGGGGGACTCCGCGTTCTCGGAGAGCTGTGGGGTGCCGGACACTCAACGGTCACTTCCACAGATCCGATCCCGCTTGAGGGAAGGAATACTGACCTCCGATGTCTTCTCAAAATCCCGGTCCGGGTGCCCAGGACGGCCAGGCAGGAGAATGGCCTCTTTCACTCAGCGAATGAGTGGTAAATGGGGGGCCAATCCACTCCTAGAGCAAGCCATTCAGAGGCACAGAAAGACTGCTGCTTTACCTTCTTAATCAGAAGAGAGAGATTAGATCCCCTAGCCCACACATCAGGCCAGTGAGCCAAAGTAAGAGATAGCGGCGTGGACACAGTTTGACCCATGTTACAGACAGAAAAGCAATTCCCCAAAAAACTGAAACCTAAAATGTAACCGCTGTTGGCACAAAACTCCCGCCTAGGGGAATTTCTGATGGGAGTTTCGCTGAGCGTCCTCAGTCTCCCGGTCCTCTCGGGGCGTCCCCCAAGGTGGTAGCCTGGGGCTTCCAGGCACGTCTGCCAGCCACAGTGCATACCGTGCCAACCCAAAAACTGAAACCGAAACAGGCCTGTAACCCGAAAAACTGAAACCTGAAGCGCGCATATACTGAGTCCCTACCTTAGGCGCCTTTATACTTACCCCAAGAGACTTCTGTTGGAGGCGTCCACGGGCAGCCCCGATCTCGCTGGGGCCTCCAAATGTTAGAGTCGACTGCCCGAAAAACGTCACCAAGAGACATCTCTTATGCAAACAGCAAGGGGAAGCTTTATTGATTATCCAGCATGCTGGGGCTGTCTGATCATCATGAGCAGAGCAGCCCCGAATAACCAAAGGTTAGGGTTTATAAAGGCAAAAACCGCAAAACCAGGAAGGGGAGAAGAGAATACACGGTTGTTAAGCAGTTGCTAAAGTCTTACAATCAGCAATTATGACATAGACAAATCACATCTTCATTATTAGCCCAGGTAACCCAGGTGCAACCTTTCTACTTTTAAGCTTGAGCAATCATGCTAGCGGGTTTTTGTGTGTTGCCAAGGGTGATGTAGTGCACTGCTATTGTCCGACTATTTGAGATCATAGTTTCGGACCAGAGTCTCACGGTGGGGGGGTTGCTTTCCCAGAATGCAGTCTCAAGTGCTCCAAAATGGAGTCCCTACTGTCAAGGTGCTACTTCACTGTTTTATTTTTACAGCTGCACTAGGAAGGTTTAAACCTGTAAGCTTAAGCTTAACTTTTGACACCTGTACATATACAATTTTAACTCTTCAATTGTAGGGATAGGAAAATTCAAAATCTAAAAGATAGTTGATGAACTGGAGATCCACAGAAGAGTTAATGCAGTTTTAAGCACAAAGTCGGGATGAAGTCAGAATTTATTTTTCCTCCACGAAACTTACTGTTGCTTCCTCACACAGGGCACTGTAAGGTCGTCCCAAAACACACCAAACACCGGAGTAAGGGAAAAGGTTTATTGGGGAAAACCCAGCAGACCGGAAGGCAGGGGGCGAAGAAGGAAAAAAAGAGAGAAGGAGAATGTAAGAGAGAGAGAGAGGAGAGGAGCTAGCAAGGAGAGAAGAAAGATGAGAGAAGAGAGAGCGAGCAGGAGAGAGGAACAAGAGGAGCCAAGAGAGGGGAGCAAGAGAGGAGGCCCAGAGAGAGCAGAGAGCTCAAAGAGAGAGGGAGAGAGAGCCACGTGTTCAGGAACAGGCCCTTTTAAAACTTTGCCAGAGGGCGGGCAGGGAAGCAGGAGCAGCGAATCCCATTAGGATGGGGGTGGAGCTTGACACCAGTGGTTGGGCAAAACCACCTTTTGCTGGAAGCCAGCAAAGGTGACGGGGCTAGAGCCTAGGATGGCATCAGGGTGTAGATCATGCCATAGATAAAACTGCACCATTTTCCTAACAGGCACCATAAATGTTAGGAAAAGATCGCAGAATAGAGTGGAAGCAGTGTACACATTTACAGCCAGAACAAATTTATTCAGAGAAAATAAATTCATGGAGGTGGGTGACCAAATGCTGTGTGCACATTGATGGAACAAGTGGCAGAAGGCCTGACCCCCAGGGGCAGGGCCTTTTTGTATTTTAGGAGGGCTAGGGATGGGGGTGGGGGTAGGGGCAGCAGGCAGAGGTGAATTCCAGGAACTGGGCGGGGCCTTGGGAACCTGAAGAAGAATGCTGGGTGGGGTTTGAAGGCAATAGGGTGTGAAATCCAATTGAGTTTCAAGGGCAAGAAATACATTCCAATATCTATCTGTCTTTTGGGCTATGAGCTAGAATGGCTGAAGTTTATGTCTTTGTTTTATCACTTACATTCTTTTAATAACTTTAATATATTGGATGAAACCAACTCACATTATGGAGGAAAACCACTGTTATTTAAAGTCTATTGATTTAAATGCTAATCACATGTAAAAAAAACCTTCACAACAACATTGTGAGATGCTTGCCAAAACAACTGAACATTGTAGCCAAACAGTTGGACATTTAAATTAACCGTTGGAAGATCCTTATTCAAATGATCTTTATAGTAAATAGTGATATTTCTCCAAGTAGAAAATTTTTATCAAATTTTCATGAATATAAAAATATTACATAATAAATGCCTATAATCCAACTATAATATTATTTTGCCAAACCTCTATATGTTAGAATTTTCAATAATCCAGAAGCTAAAAGTAATTATCGACTGTATTGTAGGGCAATTTCTTGCTTGTTTTTCTGTACAAGTAAGATTGTTTCCATAAAGCAGTTAACTCTGAGTAATTTGTTCAATGTAGCATGAAAGACTGTAAAATTTTCTCTTTGTCAAAGAGAATTTTTCATAGCCTAATGTTATCCTTGATGAATTAATTTATCTTCTGTGTGTCCTTTAAAACAGTGTCTTTGAGGATAGTTATTTTAAAGTCTAATATAAAATAAACGCTGATTACAAATACTATGACAATTTTCAACTGTAGTATCATCTAGTTTGTCTTAGATATGCAGTTGACATGAAATGCTCTAACATCTAAGAAAAATAGCACCTCCCATTCTTTTTGAATTAAGTGAAAATTTACAATATACACTTTCATTTTCAGAGGTGATGATATTGTGTGTGATTATCTCTTGATTGTAACTGAAATGTTCAATACACAGTCATTCTTTTCCCTGCTAAGATATGCACCATACTGTTCTGGCTTTCTTTTGCATTTGGGGATGGGGGCAGACCTATTTTAATTTCTCATTACGACACATATTCTCTTGTTTGCAGTCACTAGCCCGTCTCCTTGACTATTGCCCTGTATAGCAAGCCTTGGAACTTGGAACACATCTTGCTTCCCGGTTCACCCTTTGTATGTTTCACTTCTACTTTTATTTCCTGCTGTGAAATGTGAAAAAACATGTTATTACATGTTTAAAAAGTGTTATTACATGTGAAGAGTATTATTACCACAATCGTTTTTGTTAGGAAGCTGTTTCAATCAGACTTTGTCATTGATGTCTGCATATATTTCATTATTTTCATCAAGTAACATGAAGTTAGATTAACATGGAGGCTCTGTGTTCTTCTTTCTTGTACCCCCTGTAGTTATTAGCACATTTCTTTACACTTAATAAACACTTAATGGATACATGTTGAATGGAAATATAGCTTTAAAATCAGTTGAATTCCTTTTTCTGGAATATATAAATATTCTCTATTTATTAATTGTTTTCACTTGTCACTTGCCAAAGCATTATCTTTGTTCAAGATTTTTCTCTGTTTGTTATATTTTAATAATCATCATTTTAAGAAACTAAAAACAATATATTAACAATAGAATAAATTTTACTAACTTTTTTAATATTTGGTTTTCTTATGTAGTTAATGCTAATAAGAAAAACTCTAAAGTGAATTTAATTTGATTTTGTTAGAAATAATACAGATACTACTATAGTTATGTGACTTTTAAAATTTAAAAATTCAATAAAAGTGAATGCATAATTTATCATACTGAAACGATTCTGGATTATAACCTGTCCTCCATAAAAATATGAAAAGAAACTTACATAAATATGCTAGTAAAGTTATTATCTGTTAATTTATTAAAAATATTATTGAATGAGGAAAAATTTTGATATAAAAATAATCTCTCTCAGGTTTTCTGAAATTTCCATAAAACCATTCTTCTTTTTGAGATAGTTAAGGAGATGGCCATTTTCCTGCATATTTATATTTCTTTATATAAGTCCAGGAAAGAGAAAGAATAGAGAGGACAAATTAATACATTTTGAAACTTAATGAAAATTACATTAAATTTTTAATAAAGAAGAAGTTGACATTTTATGTTTTCAGTTTCATTGATTTTTCCCCCCAAAGGATCTTGTTACATTTTCCATATCATGATATAATTGTTAAATGTTTTCCTTTTAATGTATTCATTTGTCTAATGGTGATATAAAATAATACAGATAATATAGTGGCTAGACCATTAAAGTGCCCCAGGTTAAAGACGTTTGTATAGTAAAAAGACAGAATGATTATTTTCCTTTAGTATCTAGTTGATTCAAAAAATTGGTCTTATATGAAAAGGTAGTTGCCTTTCTTTATGATTAAAAATATACTTTGGCTCTCATTGGGCATCTCCTAGACCATGTGGAAACCACATCTGGAGAAAGAAGACTAAACAGATTTTTAAAAAAGGAAATGAGCATTAATAAACTCTGTTTTCAGTGAATTTTAAAGTTCCATTGTACATTACAAAATAATTTTGCACTAGAAAATAAGCCAAACAAATAAAACTTGAGGCTGAACTCAGCTATGAGTAATTTTAGTATAGCTGAATGATCTATTCTAAATTCAACTTTGAGCAGTTCACTAGTATCTATTTATGAGTGTATTTGTGTGCCTATATGTTTGGTATCTCAAGTGTGAAACTCACTATTTCCATATGCAAGAATTTATAAATCTGAGTCTGTTTTATTCCTAACTTGGGTTTAAATCTGTAAATAAAAATTCTCTCATTTAAAGTGAAAAGTGTGGTGTATGTTGACTAGACAATTGTATAGCATTGTCCTCTAGAAAATCTACGTTCCTTCTTCCATATGACAAACTAGATTTTTCACTTTTCTTTAAGAACTCAGTGTTCCCACTTTTATATGTAAATCACTTTCAAATTGGTTAATAACACTAACAATAAATGCTTATGATCATTCTCTGAAATTTCCAATACAAAGTTCATATGTGGCCATAGACCTCATGATGGCTAGTTTGAAAATTTCTACCTTTATTTCGTAATTTTCTGAGTGTATTTTCCTGGCTAGATTTTACATTCTGAAACCATTACTTTGACTTCTACTAACCTTCATTAGAAAAAAGTCATATAAAACCATGCACGTAACTAAATTGCTCCTTTACAGGAGTGGAAGTGTTTACAACGTCACCAGTTTTCCTTTTTAGAGTAATTTATCTTCATTACCTTCTGTTTTCATATTTGTTTCACAAGTTATACTGCTTTAAATTCTCAATTGTAAAAGTTCTTCATTAACAAGACTATGTCTTATGTAGAAAAGGTTCTGTATTATTTTATTTAAAAAAAAATATCTTTGAAAGGCGGAGATAATGATAGAGATCAAGAGCAAGAGCAAGCTCTCTCATCCCTTGGTTTACTCCCCAGATGCCTGCAAGATCCAGGGCTGGGCCAGTTCAAAGCCAGAAGCCTGAAACCCAGTCCAGGTCGCTCATTTGGGTGGCAGGGATTTAATTGCTTGAACCATCACCACTGCCTCCCAAGGTGCACATTTCCAGGAAGCTGGAAAAGGAGCTGTGCTAAGACGCCAAAGCAGGCAATCTCGTATGGGATGCAGGTATTGAAGTGGCTTCATACGTGTTGTGTCTAATACTCACTCAT